TTAACAAACTAATAATACTCTTTTTAGCTTCACTGTATTTCATCACAGGAAATAAGTAGGTTTATGAGATTACCATGCTGTCTGCATGTGTGTGTTCCATTACAGTGAACCAGATTACTGATTTTCACAAAATTTGGTAAAAGATATTATGCCATTGGAGCCCACCTTGCCAAACTTTTCAAATTCCTGCGATCAGTAACAGAAATGTGGCAGATCTGAGAACCTGTAAGGTCGGAGTGATGCTAAATTGGGGCCCTGAAGTGAAGTGTGGCAAGAGACCTTCAAGAACTACACAACTTTTATAAGTTAATCTTTGTAAAATGTAAAATATTCTGGCAGATGTATGAAAATTCTCTTTTGGTTTGATAGCGATAGCTAATCGTGAAATTTGGTATCAAGGCAAATTACAAACATTGCTACACATCACATATTAAATGATTTTTATAAGTCCAGAATTAAAATATGGACTTGGCAAAAATTCTGGGGTTACAGCTAACAATTTTAACACAGACTGAACACATACTTAAATAATTTTTCCATAAAAGTAATATAACAATAATAATAACAATCTGCAGGACTAGAAACATATGCAACAGACAAGCTGGCTTTACGAGCTTTGCTCAAAAATTCATGTTATATCTAACAATTCTTCACTAGAATAAACGAGTACCAAACCAAATGTCAAAAAATTGAACTCTCAATGACTGGATAATTGCCTGTCGATTTTAAATTTTAAATATTCTGCTTTGATTCTTTCTAAATTGCTTTTCATTTTCCCACAATTCATTATAATAAATTTGTACATATAAATATATAGTAAACCTTTGTCCAGAATGGTGAATGTATCGCTTGAAAGTGGCGTATGTCTGATGAATCCACATTGGACAAATTTAATGAGCATGACAGTTCAGCCAAGTATTTAAACTGCTGCATATATTGAATAAAGTTGGCGATGGCATCTTTTATGTGTTACTACAGCGTTCGGCAGACAGTATACAGTTACATTTTCTGCATTCATCAAATAATTGTTCCCATGTATTTTCATTCATATCACTAAATCTGCACTGGAAAAATTGTCCACATGTATTATGTGAGGTCATCACAGTCCTGACTACTACCTGGATATTAAGGGATATCAGTTCTCTTCAACAAAATTTCACCTAAAGAACAACTTTCAAGTAACACATCCATTTTTTAGAGGAGTTAGTGTCAATATATCTATTGTCCAAGTAGTAATGCAAATGAAGGTCACTTTTACATTCATACCTGGAACATATTCTCTAGACATGTACATGTGAACGATACACACCTATTTAATAACTTGCTTTGAAACCATTTATGTTTATACCACATGCACTCCATCTACTCTGTGAATCAGAGTATGTCATTTCTTGTATAGGCAGTCTTAGGGAACATAAGTCTTGTCTATGCATGAATTTCCCACAGTAGATGAAGTGTACTTGAGAAACATTCCACACACACACACAAGAAACTGTTGAAAATTCACTTCTGTAATACTGACACACTAACAAAGTTTATATGATAATACAAAATAGTAGTCACACAGTAATTACCCAACTGTAGCAGACTGCATACTGCACCCTGTGTGGAAAATACTGTAACAATATTCTGATATATATATCTGACTAGCTCTTATGTAGATTGGGTTACAGGGGAAGTTGGGCATTAAGGGACTCCTGCACTGCAATCCACAGTGCTTCCACTCTTGTGTAACTTATTACTGATGAAAGCATTTCCTAACTGAACCACTTTAATTGTTTCAAAATCCAATACACTCATACATCAGCATACAATCCAATCAGCAATTGAAAAACACTGGCTGCTGTTTGCCAGTAGAAGTGGGCATGCAAACATGAGAAAATCTTTAACTTCCTTCTACAGGTCAAACTATTCTTTGTTACTTTCAAATCTCTATGATAGCCATATCAACTCAGGACCCATCACTACAATTCTGGTGCATTTGCTCTATTATTCCCTGCAGACAACCTAAATTTAATTTTGTCTTCAAAGCTGTATAACTTAGTATAGGAAAAATGTGTTCTCCATAAAGTGTTTTGTTTTTCATTTATCACTTCTGTTCTGAAAAATATTTTGAGTTACATCCAAGTTATGTGTGAGATGCATGCAGAAATACATTTTTGTCTTGATATAATGGTGTTGTCTGATTTTTAACCAAGACTGAAATATGCTGGCACATTTTAATCAAACTCTTCAATATCAACTTTAATAAAAACCCATTCAGCAATTCTCATACTGTTACAATCAGATGACAGACAAACACGGTGAAGCTAATATGTGAATTTTAACAGCTTTTTGTTTCCAAAGAAATAAATACTGCTGCACATTCATCAATTTTCTTAAACCTTAGTGTCATATAGTAATACTGTATAGAAGCTTGGTTAGATGATGTATTTTGACCACTTTTGGATATTTCAAGTACCCATTAAATCGAGATTGCATAGCATTTTACAACAATAATTCCACCTTTCAAAGAACAACTATTATTTTCCAGTATCTGAATTCAGTAACCAACCATTTTCATTGGCTGCAACTTTGCAGGAATCTGAACAAGATAACAATAACTAAAGAAACCCACAAAAAAAAGGGTAAAATGTAAAGTTATCCCTGTAACAAGCTGTGAAGGCCGGTAGGGTTGTGAGACCTCGAGGCTCCCACATTTTCTACACAATCGGCTCATAGAAGGCAGTAAGGTTGTCAGCCTTATATGCCTGCCACCCTATATGCCCCAGGAAGATCCCTGGTACTCATTTCTGTTACAGGCTGAGTCGATCCCAGGACCATTATGTGGCTGCCACGTGCCCGCAACTAAAGAAAAGTAACATCATTAATGCCAATCTTACACTCAAACTTCCAGCTGTGGCTGCAGTCACATAAGGACAAATATTCATTAGGAACAACTGGTGATAATTCAGGCGCTTCTTAGCAAATGTGTAGGAAGGATACATAAAGCCTGAAAACAGGCTTCATGTAATTCTTGTAAATCATGTCCAGATTCAGTGTTTAAGAGGCTGGACTAACCTTTGTCACCTATCACAAATAACAGGTGAATTCAGTGACATCATGATGGTTAGGAAGGCTTTGTGTTGAATTTACTGAATTCAGACCCCCTTGGCATGCTACACAATGCTTCAGCTACATGCATTCATAGAGCTATAACAATATACATTACTCCATTTTATATAGGCCAATACTATATTATGAAAACAGCGGTAAATGCCTCAAAGAAGCAATGGGTACAGTGCAAAGATGACTTTATTCCTGTGATGGACTTTTGAGAATTAAACTGACATTTGTTCATTTAATGTGATGTTAATTATCTTTTATACTGAACAAACTGGTCTGCCAGCAGAGCTCTAAAATTGTATTCAGGTAGATCTCAGCTCAAATAGAAGCAAGGCCATCATGAATGAGGTCTTCCATGGAGTTCCTCAGTCTCTCCAGGCAAATTCTCTGATAATACTTCAATTGGGCCTCAACTACATCCTTCCAATTTATTATACATTAAGAAAACTATAATCTTGATACTGACAGCATCATAAAATCCCCCCCCCCCACATTATTTTTTATATAATTTTACTCTTCATTACAAATTTACCTTTGCTTATCTCAGAGACATCCCTAAGCACATACATGTGGTGCTGTGAAATTTGCCTGTTCAGCAAGAGTGCATAAATTAGAGACAATCTGTTTAATCACCTTATTGTTCAGAACTGTTTCCTTAACTCTACCACAGCCTTCAATAATGCACATATTATACTGACATCTGGTGGACAAAATTCTGACTAGTATTAATATGTTTTTTTTAGAGTTTTGCTTCATTTTAGTAAAAATCTGATGGTGATCTAGCCATTGCAAGGGAAACATTTTGTTATGCAAATAGGTTAAGTTAGCACAGAATGGAGACTATACCATGTTGGCCCCTGGCCTTTGGCGGTGAACACTGGCCCTCCAGCATAGAATGTGTGAAACACCAGAGACAACAGCAATGTGAAATATAATATGACGCATTGCACTGATATGGATCCGTATTGGTAGTTCAGTACTAAACGTATTCCTATATATAACTGCCTGACGATGGTCTTGTATGACCGAAACATGTAGCAGGAATAAAGATCGAATTGTAAAACATTAAAAGTGAGTATATTTGTTGTGTTGATGGTTAACATAATTCCTATATATAATGTGAAACACCACTGTGATTTATTAAATTAGAATATAAAATTAAATAAAATTACCAATTACTGATGAATGAAACGTCACAATTTCCAAGCATAATACTGAAAAATGCCAGTGCAAGAATACAACTCATTTTTAAAACTGAATTTCAGTATCTTTGATTTAAGCATTTTCCACTCTGCTCAATAACTGTATATAAATTACAGTATGTGTGTTCAAAAATCCATAGTGTCCAGTGACTTCTTATGCTACAAGGTGATTCACTTGCAGGAGGCCCAATATTAATTATACAATGAGCAACAATTCACTCGAGTAAAAGAAACCTGGCAACACTAGGTACTTTGCAACACTGACCTGATGTCTGCCTGCCTGGTTTGCACCATTTCCATTACCTATAATATTCCTGTAATCCCACCTGCCATGCTGGCTTATAACATTCTTGAATATGGAGTGAAATGCCAGCCTGTGTCCTTATGAGGAGGGAAACCAATCTCAACATCTTCTGTGGCCCAATTATCATAATATCTACAAGGGCATGTATTCACAAAGTTTTGTTTTCAGTGCTGAATCACCATTTGATCTGCATTTATTAATTCAGGGATTTCTCTGAGTGAATCACCCTGTATTAGTACAAAAGCCTCTGTATACAAGTACAAATGTCATTACTATATTATATTTAAGCATAACTGCAGCACGAACACAGGGAACCTGCACAGAATAATACGTGAATGGTGCTGAAAGCAAGTAGCCGCTGCAGCACATGTATACATAGAGCAGGTATCCCTGTGATTTAAATTTTAAATTTAAATTGACGAGTTTATATTAACATAGATTTTAAATATAACTGACAAAATCAGCAAGGAGATTCTGGTATATCAGGACCGATTGAAAAGCAGCAATGACAATTGAGAAAGCTGGTGTTTTTAAATTTTAAATTACATGCAGTGTCACAGCTACATAAACTAAATACACCTGAAGATGGCCAGTTACAGCTGAAACATGTAGTGTGTAAGAAGAAAGACAAAGAACTACAATAAACTGTTGCATTTACGGCGGTATTTGTATTATACATATACAAATGTCAGTAGAGCAAATGAAGGTGCAAATGGTCTGTAAGACAGGGGTCTGCAGTGAGGTTCTTGTGCACAGCCTGAATTACTGGTGCATTCAAGTACCAAGGAAACAGTAGAATACCACCAAATGAAAAATATATTTTTTCAAAAAGAAATTAATTTATACAAGTATTTTATATACGATAGTGATGAAATATTTCAGAGGATTATAGATGCCATGGACTGAATTCAGGTTTCTGGTAACTAACTAGTTCTCAAAGAGGACAAAACCAGTGACTGGGAGAGAAAAGAACTGCTGATTATTTTTATGCTTCTGACTGGCCTGCCATTGCAAGAGTACATGGAGACAAACGCAACAGATACAGTACGCCACAGCCATTCTAACATGTGTTGTAAAAGCGAATGTTTGGCAATTTATTCTAATGGTAGGAGAAATGGTTAACAGGAGGCAAATATGAAGGTTTTCCACCTACTGTCAAAGTCGAGCACTACCCACAGACACAAAGACACAACACGTGTGTCGGAAGACAGAAATGCTGTGATTACTTGTGAATACTTTAAAAAAAGATAAGAACAGTTCTGTATCATGTACTGTAGTCTGAGGATTACTCTTATTAATTCTTTTGCTACAAACCTGTATTCATGAAATGCCATCAGAGAAATAATGCCATCTAGGAACGATCCAAAAGTTCTGTTTCATATGAATAATGCAGATACATTCAAGTCAGAAGGCTGTGTTCACAATATTCCAGCAACATACGGCACAGATACATCTCTTGCTCAAACTGCACCAAGCCCACTACTGTGGCACCTGATCCATATGTTCACCAACTAAACAGCAACTTGGTACTTACTCTATGGCTCACTACTATTGTGGTGCGTGTTTATATGACGCCTTCAGCCACGGTCGTGTCCTCTACAGTCATATACATACCTTCCTCCTCGTATGCACTCTCATGCTTTGCTAGAATACGAAGCAGAGGGCGCAACTTCAGCCACCAATGGTTCTTTGGAATTCGATGCCTAGAAATGAATAGAGTTGCAACTGAATATCTGTTTCAGTCCCCAACATGTTCACATATATCAAACCACCAGGGGATATTCTAGTCCTTCGGTTTTCACAGCCAGTGTATAATGTGTAACTCTGACTTCTGTACAATGAAGCTTTCCCAATGTTTCAGCATACAATGCAGTCATGATCTTCAGGGTGAATAAGGTGGAGGGAGAAAGTACACCAAAACCCAGGTTTCACAGTGGGATTAAGGATGAAGATACATTTCCTTTTTCTGCCTCACATGCCCTGAAGATGGGAACTGTAACATACATGATGACATTGGACTAACTTCAATGGATGAACCCTAAAAGTTGAAGTTACACCCAAGAGGAAATATTAATAAACATTACTTCTTTCATTAAAACACAAATATAACTGCAAAATTTAATTTGTGAATCACAATTCTCTTCACCAAGAATATAAAATGAGGAGATCATGCCTGCACATATGTTTCATCTCCAAAAGTAATCAACAGATTTCAACTGCATTTGCTACAAGAGTTCAAAACTTAGTATTCTTCGCTGAATTTTATTTCAGCCCATACCAGCAGAATAAAGTCCCAAATACATGCAACACCCAAATCAAGCACAGGCACTGGGAAGCGTCTTGCATGTGTGAACATCAAAGCATGAAACTACTTTCAGAGTCAGCAGAAGTAGGCAGAAGGGGTGGACCCAAGAGCCAGTCTGGAAGAGGTGGAGAAGTGAAAATTCTTAATCCTACTTGGGCTCAAACTCCAACCCCTCGGTCGTCCAGCCCATAGCCAATCGCTATACCAACTGCGGTATCCCAGCTCTGACTGTACCGTGTACTTACTCAAAGTCTGTTTCAGATTTCAGTGCTTCAAGAGGAGTCAGCCTGTACTGGCGACGAATGACACCCATCATAACAGCAGACTCAGGAGTATTTATGAATATGCTCCCATTTGGCCGACGTTCTGCTAGTTTCAGCTGCTCCAGTAGCCCATCTACAGCCTTAGATGCCATCTTGGTTCCCATGTTACGATCAAAAGGAGTGGCAGAACCACCCTGTTGCATGTGACCTGTACAATTGACATTGATACACACACTGGCAAATAGTAAGCAATTTTTAAGAGTTCTATCTTCTATGATATAGAGCTGTGAAGTCTGTTGAAATCTAACCAATATTTCGGAGGAACATGTCACCTCCAAACTTCAGGGCTGAAGTATAAGCCAAGAAAGAAACCAGCATAATGATGGAGGTAACAGGTTACTCCAAAAGGTCAAATTTCAACATGCCGATTGGCATCATATCCCTGAAGACAGAACTCCTGCGAGAATCTAAAATCCTACGTAAGTAGTATCTTCTGTTGTCTTCAGATCTATGTTAAACAATTTAAGCATCAGAGCATACAACCATAATTTTCTATGGACATGAAACATACGAGAAAAATGCAGATTTGGTGTGTCTCGGAACAAGATATTTACATGAATATCTGCATCTAAAAGATATGAAGTATGAGAAGGTTGCATAAAAACTGCATAATGAGAACAAAATAAAGTGTATTTTCGCCAATTATCAGATGAGCAAATAAAGGAGGGTAAGATGGGCAGGGCACGTAGCACACGAGGAAGATGAAAAATCCATAAAAGCTTGAAGTTGAACCTAGGTGTAAAAACCTCAAGCTCAAGCAAACTAGAAATAGCTGGGAGGATAATATTAAGTTGAATCTCATGCATTTCATGGATTCTTTCCCATACTGTTGGCCAGTATGCTAGCCACGCTTTCATAATACCAAACCAGTCAGCCCACTGATAGAGAACTTGTATTTCTGAGGTTCACATTTCACCCTGCAACAACAGTCCTAAGGCTTTTTGTGGTTTTCCTCAGCCTCTCTACCCCAATACTACATACAGATCTGGCATTTGAATATTCATTTGGAGGCAATACTACCTGTATTGAAAGAATGCAACATTTGGCCACTTGGGCCACACACACCTTATGATAGCACGATGCACAGCATATCCAACAGACTCCAAATTATCCTTGGCAGGATTATCTACAGATCTTTCAGGACCACTTAGTTACTGACTGTGGCTTCCCATAATGACTTAAATGTTTGCCATTACATCTGTTTCAGTAACATGGTATCAGCAATGCTTTCCAACAATTTGCAGCAGATTGTACATCTTCTCTCACGCTGCTGAAACTTTGTATTTTATTATTTTATTGCTCTTTGCCAGACTGTAACTAAATAAGGAGAAGAGTTGATTCTTCTATTGGAAAGATACTTGTTTCACTGTTTAATGACCAGCTGAATCCACAGTACACGGTTAATTACAGGGTTTTACTTCACATTCAGGTTATTAGACAGGCAGTACATGATCCCTTCTTAAAACCCTAAATTCTCAGGAAAAAAAAACACAATCTTATCAGTACTATAATTGGCCAAGTTTTCCATTTCACTAAGAATCTACATCTTCGTATCATCATCATTTCAGCCCTTGAAACATTTTAATGTGTAACTGCCACACTTTAAGTGATCTTTCAATCTCATGTTGCACTAGATATTTAAGTGGGTAGTGCCGAACTTTCATGCCATAGTGTAACTGACAGTTTCATCTGAAAGTTTCATGATGATTAAAATTCACTTCAAAGTTGCACACCTCTTGATATCTGTGACATTCTTGAATCTCTCTTTTCTTCATGATCACATGATGATATTCTACTGTTTTTTCTCTCGCAGAAATAAATGGAGTTACAGTGCGCGCATGCATGAAAACTTCATGATACGAATTGCTGCTCACTCTGCAGCCACCATTTAACTACATACTGTGATGTTGGTCTCACCTTCCAGTAATCACACTGTCTTGATGGTGAGCTGCAAAAAATAACCACACTGTCCACCCCAGAGTATCACTAATCATGCATTGTTCTTAGTAGGGTGAGACTGAGTCCCTTGTACTGCGGCCACTTCTGGCCTATTGTACCATCCCCAGATGATAGGTGAGGGTGATTGTGGAGCAATTGGTGGAATGAAGATTGGCAGGGGAAACTTAAGTACCCAGCAAATACCTGCCCCAGTGCCACTTTGTCCACCACAAATCCCATATGACCAGACCTGGGCTCGAATTTGGGCTGCCAGGGTGGGAAGCCAGTGACTAACTGCCTGAGTTATGGCATGGCCTTTACCAATCATGTAAAAATATCGATTCCAATGTACCATTTTCTGAGTATGTGAAACGTAATATGACACTTGTTTCTCTCAGATGCCCTAGTATTAAAAATAACTCAACTTATATACAGATATATAAGGGATTTGCATTAACTGTAGTTTCTGGTTATCTGAATGACTACTGTCCTCAATTAGTGCGGATAATCAAGAGGTCACTATAAATGTTAAATGCTTGAATATACAACACTAATTAACAGCTCGATGGGTGACATATCTGAATGTTTTAAATTTAATGACACTAACAGGATGATTTAACAAATGAAAGTCAAATGCCCCAAAACAAAAAGCAAAGAAAGAGAAAGCTATCCCTGTAACAGGCCATGGAGACCCATAGGGTTGTGAGGCTTCAAGGCTCCCACATTTTCTAGACAACTGGCTCACAGACAGCGGTGAGGTTGTCAGCCTTACCAAAAGAAGAAGTACTACTGTGACGTTCTAGAGATTTCCAAGGAGCAGATGAGGTCCAAAGGTTCTATTGCAGCAGTCATGTGGAAATTCCGATAAACCAAGGAAGTCAGTAATAAGGCAAACATTCAAACAGTGTTACTGTACCGATGATTAAGCAATCTGAGGGGGAACACTTCACCCCACTGGCCCCCTAGAAGTGCTCCCTGGAAGCATCAGGGCTAAGGGCGGTGGTGCCCTAATGCCACAATGCTCTTGAGACACATGGGTACCTCCTACTGCATCTAGCCTTCCTTGCACACAAGGCTTTGCAGGAGGTAACGGCATTTCTCCTGTGTATGCAGGATATATGGCCAAGAGGAGGAATTCTATTAACACACACTTTGTCTGTGGCCAGATTTGGCTAGGCAAAGATCAGAGATCTGCTCTGCATGGTTAGGGCTGATATACATAAGGTGGGGCCTCCATCAAAGTGGTTCTTGCTCTATCACTGCAGTCATGGCTCTCTGAAGAGCTCTAACATGACTTGAGGGGGTGACAGCATACTCAACAAAGTCTCACTGCTTGGGGCCACCTTAAGCTTTTGTTTCCCTCACTCAACACAGTACAACACAACAAGCAAACAGAAGACCACTAGCAACTTCCTTTAGCAGTCACGACCACTACAGACAATATCATCACATTCCATGTTATCTGCTGTCACATATATTACTGATGCCAGCTGGTTTATTTGATTACAGTGGTATTTTAAACATGTTCCTTACCCAGGATGTTCTGTCGAGCACTGAACAATCCTTTTCCTTCTTCAGTGTAAAGCCGGTAGATAAAGTCTGTATTGTAATTTTCATTAGCTCTTTCATTCCTGTAAAATAAATATACACATCACCTGTAAACAACACCAGAAGGATCCAGAAATGGAACTCCTCTTACAGAGAGTACAGCCTTCTGGGTTGTGATGATGTGTGGTTTGCATAGGGTTCAACATTTTGGAGGATCACGCTGCCTCTAGCTTCAAGATAGAAAGAGTCAGCCAAGCATGAAACTAGCAGAAGCAGGTGGCAAGCTAAGCCTCTCAACTACAGTGCATTATAACCCAGAACACTGTACTTTTCATAGGCACTGCTGTTAGGGCCTCAAATCCAAGAACACTTCAGCCTAATTATAAGAAAACATGGAGCCATACCACCCCAGAAGTTGAAGATGACCTGTATAAGTCCTCGTAGCAAGAGGCAACTGTGCTTTGATATCTATAGTTCAAATCTGACACAAAAGTGAACATACCTCAGTATAAGCCCTCTCTGCACACCTTCAGCCATCTTTGCTGCCATATGGTACAAATCTTGCTGTAAATCCTTAATAGAGAATTTTTCTTCAAATATATAAGCAGCATCAGCACCTCCAGCAAGTCCTATGAAAAAGTTTTATTTTTACATTTTAATACATGAAGCTCAGGGAAATATCTAGCTTCCTGCCTGAGAGTAACTCTCCATTAATTTTTCTTCATCACTTTATGGCAACATCATAAAAAATTAAGTTGGTACTACAGAAGTACTATTAGTCTCAGAGATTTCAGTTACTGCTCACACACAAAAATTGCTAAACCTAACAGTACACAGTGCAGCACTCTGCTACGTAGCTGTCAAGAACTGGGTGTGGAAATGTCGGCAGGGTGAAAAATGGGGAGAACTTTCACTAAACACTAACTACCACACTCTTGATGGTCATAAAAGAGAAAAGGTCTGATGGGAAACAATAAGGCTAAATACAGTCTATAATGCACAAAAATGAAACATTCAAACAGCTGAAGAGATGAAATGGAAATTATGCGCATAATACTGTACAGCATTGTGTAACACCCCATAAAAAGTGGCAAACATGCAACTGCTGGTTAATACACAATATGCTCCCAAATAACTATGCGGCTTTTGGAGCATTCACGACCCTACACAATCACTCAGTCCATCTGTCTGTTCACATGAGAAAACCAATAGATTTTCATGAAATTTGACATTTGAGAATTTTACAAACAACTTACAATTTCACCAATCACTACATATCAAAGACAACAAGCATTTCAGTATCTTGCTAAATATTTATAAGAGTGAAAACCGTTTTGAACAAAAGTTGCAGAGAAAAATAAAATGCACACTTTATGTTCAACGCATCTTTTGTTTCCATTTCAGTTTTCAAGATAACTGAACAAATCACAAGACCATGTGTGCATTTTCAAATGTCCACACTAAACAATCTCTCCTGATGACACCTGAAACTTGGATCATTCATGCATCGCTTCCGCTTCATCAGCAGTGGTAACTGGGAAAATATTATAATCAAAAATGTCATCCAACCATCAGTCAGGAGAGTACCACATATTGCATTGACTGATGATAAAGTACATCACATTAAGTTGGCTATCTTGTGGCTTATGTTATACTTTGATCCATTCTCTTAAACAATGGGTAATACAAAATTTCAAACTCAGAATGAAATTAATTCAGTATTACTAAAATGTACTATAACCACCTTTTTTTAGAGGGGAGAAAAAGTTGTTTCTTTTCTTCTACAGCACAATCTTTTCATTGATGTTTATGTTACTGGTCTCTGCCCACAGATGAGTGTGTCTGTTGTGTGGAAGCAACATCTGCAGTTTTCCATCACTGACAACAGAACTGCTTACCTGCTACAGTGGCAAGGTACCCACAATATCCACCCATTGTCTCGATCACAAACACTCTTCGCTTTGTGCCCTGAGCTGACTGGCGGATGCGATCACAGATCTGCACAAGAGACATACAGGACTCTGATATTTCAGTCTAAATGTTCAGAATGCAGACAACTGCAGTCGCGCTGGCCACTGCCTAGTGTCAGTATACTGAATATTCATGAAGGTCTGGGCATCTTACCTACTCTCGTCTTCTGGTGACTGGTTTCCATCGTATGAACATGGTTTATTGACTTTTTTTCATATTGTTGATCTAGAGCTCCTGGTCCAATGATTAGTGTGCATGTGTGTGTGTGTGTGTGTATACCATATTATATCTATATCCCTAGATATACAGGAGCCAGGATAGTGTAGTCAGTATGATGACTGGCTATGGGCTGGACGACCAAGGGGTCGGAGTTCAAGTCCCAGAAGGGTCTATAGAATTTTCTCTTCTCCATGTTCTCGAGACCAGCTCTGGGGCCCACACAGCCTCCTATCCAATGAGTACTGGTGGCTCTTTCTCTGGGGTAAAGTGGCCAGGGCATGAAGCTGACCAGTCACCTCCAGCTAGTGCAGAGGTAAAGAAAATGTGGACCTATACATCCACTCCACCAATGTGCTTTCATGGCGTAGTGTTTAATTAGTTAAGCACAGGGACAACTTTACCATTTTTTACCTTTATACATGTATTTACTACTCAAAAGGTCCTGGCCACTGTCCCTAACGCCAAAAATCAGTCAATCAATATATGTCAGAATACCAAAAGCTAATCACTTTAAAACATTAGCAGACCTAACCTGAAAAATTCCATGCACATTAAATACATCTCAAAGTGTGGAAAATGTCTAACAAAGCTGTGATATAATAAATTAACACTTTCAGATAATCATAACCACAGACATGTCATTTTAAAATGCACTGACCTGCATTTCCTGTTTCCAAAATCAACATTTCACTGTAAGTCAATAGTTTTCTCTCTCTGTCCACATGCAGACCCTACCTCTGTGATCTCATTGAGTGCTGTGTCACAGCCGAGGGAGAAATCCGTTCCAGGCACATTGTTACTAATTGTTGATGGGATGACAACAATTGGAATACAAAATTCTGGGTGCTCTGCTCGTGCTTCGTGCATCTGCAGACCAGCCTGATAAGCCTGTAACATACAGCACCTTCTCACTCTCCTCGAATGTCCATCCATTTTTCTCAAAGTCCTGAATGACACAGATCATTCTCTGTTGTGTTCCAGCTATCCCAGTCTGCCATGCCATCATCTCGGCAATAGCTGCGGTTTTAATGAGAAATGTTGACAAGAGCTTTTAACTGACACACACTCAAAAACTTATGTGATTTTGAATTATGTGAATCTGTCAATAACAAGAAATCATATGTTGGATCTGCAGTGCTCACAGCAGTGCCTATGAAGGGTGCTATCTTCTGGGATGTGAGGCTGTGTCGTGTGAAAGAAGTTTACTGAAGTTTCAAATGACTATTTGCTCTGCTTGCTGTTTTTTTCTTGCTGCATTATTCCTTACATAGCCTAATCTTTGCACATGACGATAGAGGCTGTTCATTCCTCTGAAACATCAGTAAACTTCTACCAAACTATATAGTGCCATATCTCAGTATATTACTCCTCACCAATCCATATATGATTCCTATAATTCAAATTTTTTAGTGAAGGCTAAAAACGGATAAAAATAATTAATGGTGGGGTGAAGAACTCACAAGCATTTAAAATGAACGGTATGAGGCTAGTTCAAATGAAACTTATTTGGGATTTGCTCTGGAAGAAGCAGAGGTCATTAAAAATTGCCCCCATGGGTGGTGAGGCAGGCACTGACGCACCACTAGATGGATCCCCTCTGCAAAGAATTCCTTGAGCTGCGGCTGGAACCACTGCACCTCCGCAGCTCTAACATCTTCCTGAGGGGGAGGGGTTCAACCCAGCAGAATACATGAACAGGTACTATTTGAAAAATCCTCACATTCATGTTAACTGAATTCTCCTCCTCATCATCATCATCAATCACCACCACCACCATCACCATCCGCAAGACAGCCCTCTTCGTGACATAGCTTTCCTTAGAAGATTCTGCCAGACTGAATCTGGTTTTCACTTCTTTAAATATAGAGACAAATATTTTTACAGAGTAAAGTCGTCAGCCTTTTGCCCAACCCCAAACCTGGAGGACCAGGTCTCTGTATTTATGTCCCCAGTGACAGGGTGGCCCAGTTATACCCCCAGGCACTGGATTCCCTTTCTGTCACCTTCTACAACTCACAGAGCTACAGTGGAGGTATTTTAACCTGCTCCCAAATGGGCGAATAATTATAATGCATCCCCCAATAAAATTAAAGGCAATAAAACAAAGTCATGATGGAATGCACAAAAATTCTGTGTTATGCAACCACTGTTTAACAACTTTTGTCAACTACATGGGTCATATGAAACTGAATGGTAACGTTATTATCAGAGGTTAAAAGAGTAGGATTTGGACAGCAGGATGACTTGCCTCTGACTGAGCTACAAAACAAAGACCTTCCAAATATGAAGCAGGAATGCTGATCCCTCCCCTGCCATGTTACTGTGTAAAGATATCGACATACAGTCATCTGCTGGATGCAGTGTTTTCTCTGCAATCCATATCTTATCAAAAGTACACAATTTGTTTTAACCAGAACTCCTTGTACTCATCATCCTATCATTGGACATTATATAATTTGAGCTTCTGACAGTATCATTATATAAAGAGTGAAGAAAGCATATATTTATACTGACTAGAGGACAGGCCATGACAATTTACTGTATAACACAGGTACTAACACACAGTCAGACTAAACAGTTGGTGCATAAATAGATCTAAGCCTCAGCTCTAAGTTTGTGTTTCTATTCTTTGGGTAATTTCTAGATTATATACCATCAAATTGTAGGATGACTGATGAATTGGAAGGAAGTGGTCGTGACCTAGTCAAGGTACTATCCTGGAGCTCCTTGAGGAGCTGAGGAAAAACATAAAATAGTTCAGTCAGGATAGCTGGTGTCCCAGCTGAGATTTGAACCAAGCACCTTCCAAAGACAAATCTAAGAGCATTAAAGCTAAGCCAGATGCTCAGCAGGCTTATGGTCAATATTACTAATCCTGATACAACTCACCTCAAAGCCTCCAATGATAAGAAGTCCATGGATCTTAAATTCTGCAAGTCGAGCTGCCACTTGTGCCATGCGAGGCTTAGGCAAGGTGCGCTTGGTGCCTAATATGGCTCCACCCTGAGCAACCCAACCTGTCACATCTGCCCAGCCCATGTTCTGAACCTGTAATGTAACATTTAGACCATAATTTTGTTATTTGTAATGAGAGGTATCACTAAATATTTATAGAGTAAGGAGTGGTAAATTCTGTAAGATTTGATATTTTCATGGTGAATATAGTGAAAAATGAGAGTGAAAGTGTAAAAGAAAATTGGAATATTAGTCACTGTACTTAATTTAATTGACATATGTGTGATGAGTAAAGAAGTGTGTGCATCTAATAAACTAATAATTATGAACCTGAACAAGTTTCAGTCACAAACGGCCATCTTCCAGGTTGTCCAGTATTAAAAAAAAACTTCACATAATTTTACAAAAATTTCTTACATTTTTGTTGTTTTTTTTTTCATGGGTCACTTAAAATATATCTTTCACACACTGTCATTAACACTTAGAACCCATACAATGCAGGAGTGAATAATGTGTAGATACAGAGCCTTTTGTACCTCCTCTGGTGTAATTCAGATGGCTGTGTTATATGACACACGTTCACGTAAGTCTTTTATAACGTCTATTTCACCGCATGCTGCGGCATCCCCTGTAGTGGTGTGCGGGCTGAACTGATGAATAATTAACACTGTAAGCCTGGCATGTGGAACATTTACAAGGTACATTTTATGTTTAAAAGCTGTCTTCACTGAACAGAAACTTCTCTTCTAACTGTTCACTGTAAATCTGGCACATATATGGCTGTGGTGAAAAATGATTTTCAAATTCTAAATGTGTGAACTACATTTCTCATACGGGCATCAGCCAACTCATGTGACAATGGCATTATCAAGAGAACTAAAGTTTTGGTTCATTTTTGTTACTCCCTTTATTTCACTGCCTTCAATTTCCATTAGATAATACATAAATCAATAAATTTTAACACTTGATTTTAGCTGTTTATGAATGCCATTTCTTTTATTACACAAATAACTTCATTATACAGAACGTAAGTGAAAAAAAAGTGCAGATAAACTTTGGTCACAAGTTCAAAATACCGAAACAAGAAAAAATGTCTACATCAACACGAGTCTAGAAACATTTTATTTGTGAATTATAGCTGAAAGAATATTGCCATGACCTATTCAGTTGTTGGCGACTGTTTGATAGGCCACCATGTTTTGCCACACTGGCTTATAGTAAACCCCTATCAAGATTTCCTCTTACATGATCTGCTGATACTACCGGAAGAAGTAACAATGACTGCCAGAGCACAAATGTGGTACATGCATGATGGTGCTCCGGCACATTTTAGCCATGCTGTACAAAAAGTTTTCAATGACAGCTATCATGACTGATGAATTGGTAGAGGAGGACTCACTATATGGCCTTCACCATCGCATTGTGAATGCCTGTCAGACTACCAGCAGCTATCCCGGCATCTCTGAATGGACAATGTGGTCCATGATGAGACATGTCAAGGCCTGCATTCAATCTGGTGGAGGATATTTGGACAAGTATTATAAGTGTACTCTTTCAGCTATAACTCTTGAATGAAATGTTTCTGGACACATGTTTATATGAACATGTAAAGCAAATTTACATTTTACATTACAGTCACCTACCCACATACAGAGTGTACGGTCACCAGACGAGTATTTAGCAAAAAATATGGTGTGCCAAGGTTAAAAATGGTGGAGCTATACCTCCACTTCCCATATATCTACATGGCATGGCACTAAATTAATTAAGCCCACAGATAACTTTACCTTTCACCTCATATACAGTGAGGGTCTACATGTTACATAAGAACAGCAAAGAGACATGTATGCTATAATACACTTTGTGGGAAATGAATTTAAACAGCTCTGAGGATGATATAATGTGGAGTGGCTGTAACATGCATTTAAATTCCATGAGATGACAGAATTCATTAAGTAAGTTAACTACATGAGGGAAAGCTCTATATAATAGAATTACACTGCAGAAGACAAAAACAATTACACTCACATTTCCTGCGAGAAGTCCCTCAATGCCGTCATGGATGCCCAGTGCCGTGTCACCTCGATAAATGCAGTTCCGTACAAACGAACGCACTGCTGCATTCATCCCACATGCTGGAGCACCAATGTGCATCACAGCCAGATTGAAGCCCTCCTGCACAAAAAGGTAACACAATAAGGAGAAGACTGCAACCTAGCACAACATCATGTACCACTGCACTGGTTGTTTACCTCTACTGGTATAAAGAATGTGTTTGGATGGGTCCTGTGGAATACAGATCTGGCAAACACAGTGACATGGGTGGAAATGCTCCTGACTTCTTCACGATGATTCATTTAAAACTGAACGCTTATCCTAATGTACAAACACTGAAGTATGTCTATCTGTAATTATGCAGTTCTCGTTATTGGAACTTTGTGAAAGAGATGACTGGTTTCAGCAGGACAACACTACATGTCATATGGTCAGGACAGCAATGGATAAGCTTAATCAGTTTCTGGCAGAAAGGATCATTTTGAAGGTATCATGGTTACACAGAGTCCAATAAGCCCTGACTCTTTCTGTGGGACTTCATTAACAAAAATGAGTACCAAAACAATCCAAAAAGCATACTACTGAAAGGGCTGCATCATGACAGGAACCCTTAAAGTGTTTCTTGAAAGAATGATGAAGGGTACTGATGAATGTATTCACAATAATGAAGGACACTTCCGGCACATTTTGTGAATACCTAGGATTAATGTTGAGTGGTACAGAAAACAAAATGTTTCCCATTTGGGTGCAATAGAGATAGTCCCAGTCTCCAGACTAGCTCTGTCAACTGGGTCCAACTGAGTAGGTTTTACCTGAACACTGCAACAGAATCCAATCTCCAAAAAGTATGTTTTTAAATAAAAACAGAACAATGTTTTAGACAAAAACAGGGCAATGGATAATGCCCAGAAATATATTTGCATACAAATGATATTGAAAATGGAGAAAACTTCCATTAACATAAAATGTTTCAGTGAATTCATAAAGGAAATAAATGCACAGAACACAGGTTTTTTTGTGGGTTAAACATTCTCAAAACGGAAAGGAAGAGAGTGCAGATAAAGATTGATCCAGTCATCTGACCTCAGGAACTTATTGGCATATAGAAAACTTTTCAGAAGATAGGAGAACTTAAAGAGGAAAAGTGTGAGACTGACTGTGATCAACAATCTGAACATGCATACAGAACTGCCAAAATAGGGACAGAATTTGCTCAGACCTTTTGGAATCCAGTTTTTGGAGACCTGCATCTCTCAGCCTGACCTATGAATCTGTCAGTCTGTAAGCCTTCCAAACTTTAAAATATAAAGTCTGGATGTGAAACTATGCTGATCTGCTGTATGACATGAAAGCAATTACCCACTGTAAATTTATTCTTCCTCAATAGTAAATAAAGCATTCTACCTTCAAATTTTGGAAAGTTTATGGCAAGGAACTTGACAACAAAGACCAAATCTTTCACTGTACAAATGGATTTTGCAACGTGATAATGAACCATCTCATGCAGCCCTTTCATTAAAGCCATTTCTGACAACAATACAGAAATGCCAGTGACTGCACATCCAAAATATGCCTTGATTTGGACCTATGAGGCATTTTTCTTATTCCAAAGCCAAAAATTCTCCTCAAAAGGTTTTATTCTGAACCATATAAGTGTCAGAGTAAGGAGAAGACTTTTCACAACCGATTCTGAGCAAGTGGAAGATGTACAGTAATGTGTGCACAAAGTCAGAAACTGAGTACTTCAAAGGTGCCCACACTTGCTAGAGGCTAACGACAATATTTTATTTACAGAATCTGTATGATTTGTCAGAAGCTTTGTACACCATCTTGCTTCCAGCATCATGTTGTGCGGTGTCAACATTTCGGACAATACAGCTGTCTCCATCTTCAGGGTGATTCAACTAGAAAACAGCTTGCCACAAACACTTAACAATTCCAGGCCCCCAAGGCACTGTGAAAATCATTATTGGTGGACGTATGGCCAGTGGATAGACAGATAACAATCCACGCACATTTTCAACACCAATGTAGCATCTCTGAACAAGAATGAAAGCAAGACCAGCTAGTATCTTCCAATGATGAAAAGGCAAAGCACTTAATCTCGACCAGACTCTGTGTACTGTGCAAACTTACAACATCAGCATACATTTCCTCTTGTCATTGCCACTGGTACACTGAAGCTCAATGGGTTTCTAAATGACCAGTTCTACCTACCACCTGCCTCACCTTCTCTTTATTGCAGGACAACACAAACTGCCATAGAAGTCTCAAAATACATGTAACATTCACACTTCAGTCTTCATGCCAGTTCTACATACATCATTACCATATAACACATTCATTGGCATGCATCTGAACGGAGACTCCACACTCAAATAAGCCATCAGAAAGGCATCAAAATTAAAACAAATTAAAATGATCTGTGAAAATGGCTTTATTTGAACTACCTTCTCCTGTGATAAAAATCCATATCACAAGATTTTCAAACTGAAAGTGACTGTCTGGTACCAGAATAAGTCACTGGACCCTAATTCAAATAATTCGGAGTTTCACCACCAGTCAGATCCGTGTGTGAATCTTTCTGCTCGCAGAGTGAAACCGACACAACTACCAAATAGAAAACTTCAGGGATGTGAAAAATATCAGGCTCCCATGTGGTTCAGATCATATATTAAGGCTGTAGATCCCCTCTGCTGACCATCACTCTCATAATCACCTTATCACTGAGGGTCTCAGAATCCCCCACATGAGTGCCCCAGCTCAGAAATGGATTCTACACACTTGTCTAGATGAGGAAAGACCAGGCAACATCTGGAGCCACTAGACATTTGCAGAGAACATAAATGGCAGCACCACACAAACCAAAAACAACTTTCGAATTGGTAAAAAGGTAATACACAGAGGAAACAATCTATCAACCAGAAAAATATTACTCTTATTTGAGTGAGACTTTTAAGAAGAAATGACAATTCATGAATGAATGTAATGTGGTTCTCAAACTGAAACTTGTGGACAGTGAAAACAAATGGATGTGCCCCCCTTATTTGAATTCACCTGATGGACAAGGAACTCTTAATTGTTCACCTACCTTCGAGTCTACCTTGACTGCCTCAGAATTAATGGAAAATAGTTTACTGAGACAAATTTACATGCAATTCAAAGATAACCTGCCCAGTGCAATACTGTGACCTTCTGAGTTATGAGAGTGTGTTGTACTTCATAGTGGTCACTACGTTTTGTAGGAACAACCTGTCTCCATCTTCTGCAGGAGATGGAAGGCATGCTCATCTAAGATGCTGGTAACTAGATGCCAGACTACATGACATTCTTCCATGTGGTTAATTTTATAGTGCTGCCATATAACAGACTATATAGCATCAAATGGCAGGACTAATAAACACTGAACTGGAAAAGGATTTTGAAACAAGTGGTCATGACCTGAGTGGTGCACGATCATGGCACCTGCCTTGAGAGACTGAGAAAACCAAGAAAATCTGCACAGACAGCTGGTGTCCTGGTCAAGATTCAAACCAAGAACCTCTTCAGTACAAGTACAAAGAGTTGCCACTATGACAGTCTGCTCAATTACACAGCATCATAACCCAGAAGATCACAGTATGAATCTTGAATGCCGTGAAAACTGTGTATCATCAGTGGCATACAAGAGAGCACAAAAACTGAAGAGCCACTAACTGCAATGCAGATCTACTTTACTTTAAACAATGCAAACACCAAACACTGAATCTTACCGAAGTGCCCCATAATGTGTCTTGCTATAAAAGGAAAATAAAACTGCCTGAGAACAAATATAACAAAGTGATATGAACAAGTAAGATACTATTCAGTAACATGTCGCCTGATATTTTCAGTAAAGCTTTACCCTATATTTCCTGTCTCCAAACTTGCTAATTGTATGTACAACGTAATTCCCATTTTGTATTTTCATTTCAGTTCCAATTTCTAACGGCACAGTCCAATAACTGTGCCACTTAAGGTTTCCCTCAATTTGCAGTTCAAAATAATACTTCCACTGTAAAAGTAAAAAAGAAGTAAAGGTATCCCTATAACAGGCCTTGGAGGTTACCACATTTTCTAGACAATCGGCTCATAGACTGGCGGTAAGGTTGTCAGCCGTACACACCAGCCACTCTTTACTCCCAAGAATATTCCAAGAATATTCCTGGTACTCATTTCTGTTAGAGGCTGAGTCGACCCAAGGGCCATAGTGCGGCTGGAAGGATTAGGTAAATTGAAAAAATTTAATGACCTCATTGGGATTCGATCCCGCGACCTTCCGGCTTGTAGCATAGTGTCTCAACCAACTATGCTTCCTTGTGCCCCACACAAATGGAAAGCATAACTAAATATGAATAATAATATGCACACCACATATACACATGAATGCAGTGTGCAAGTGCACATCGATCCGCACGCGCGGGCACACACACACACACACACACACGGACACGGACACAGTTTTAAAATAACAAATTGTGGGGATCAAAACCAGGCCATTGGCTTTGTGCTTGTGAAGGGAACTTCATAACACAATCTCACAGTCTTAGCCCAAAGATTATCATTACACTAGGACCACAGTTCATAATTTATACATATTTAAAATTGAGAAGCAATTATAATACATCAATTCTTTACAATAAAGCAACTTCCTTACCTTACATAACTTCAGAGCAGCATCAAATGAGAGAGAAAAAAATTGCAGAATTATATCACAAGTTTCAGGAAAGTAAATATTGATTTCCTTTGAATCCTTGTTTGATTAACCAACAAACTTAACTTTTTCCATTATATTTTCGCAGCTGTTAACTTCAAAATTTTGGATTTTAGAAACAGACTGTGTAAAATGTGAAAGTTTTTAAATATTTCAGCTAAAGTTCCATTGACCCCCATGAGATCCCCTTCCCCACCACACGAATTAACCGGAGACATAAATCTAAGCTGCACATTACAGCACTTCAAAGGGTTTGTGTAAGAAAAAATAGCAAGCATGAATGTCCTATGTAAGGAGACAGCAAATATTCCTTACAGGTATCTGGGAAACAGAAAAATAGAGATCTTCCATGCAGCGGCATGGCGCAAGATGAACATCTTCAGAAAATCTTCGACCAAAAGAAATCGTGGACCACGGAAAGAAGTGACTGCCAGCAGAATAAAGATTACATGCTGTGCAGGACACAGGCATATGGAACAAAACGAAGACAATGTTGAACAAGAAACCCCAAAAAGGACAGGGGAGAATAGATGTTGGAAGTACCCTGAATGCAACATTGGAATAAGGGACATAGGTGTGAAACAGGGACGAGTCAGCAACCAATTGAAGGACCCAACCAAGAACGCCATTGGAGGGTGTAGATCAGGACAGCGATCACACCTGGGAGGGAGAAGTAGTCGTAAGAAGACCTTCTACGAGATTGTCGGCAGGAAGATTGCGAAGCAAATAGCCGGATCTTCTGTCAGATTACAACAAAACAAGGAATGGACCTTATGGAGGGGTAGGCCCCCTCCAAAGCGGAAAAAGAAACAATGGATTGAGGAGGAGCCGGTAACATAAAAGTACCGGCCTCCCGAGCAAGAGTGAATGTGCGATGGATGAATGTGATACAACTGGATCTTCTGGCAAGTTGACAGGAAACCGCTTGAGATGAGCTGGTCTTAAGAGGGGAGCAGAGGTAACAGAGGATAGTCGCTGCAAGAGGAGTAGCTGGACAAAAAGAAGACGTTGCAAGAACAGCCTGCAAATAAAAGGAACGGGGATGTACTGCTAGGCAAACTTGAATGAACAGCCTTAAGAAGGGAGCAGCGTGATGTACTGTGCTATGGAGGACATCCCCTCCCATGCCAGCGGTGATGTAACATCGGAGCACTGTCGCTACTACGGCAACAGGCTGGTCAACATCCCTCCCCCACACCCCCACAGAGACGTAGTGGGGAATGCTGTGGTTGCTATGCAGCAATAAACAATTCTCGATAGCGTTCCCAACAACACCTGTAAACACGGTGACTAGGCAACAAGGAAGCGAGGCATTTTCCCGTTCTCTGGCTGAGGGTTTATAAGAAAACTACACTTCCTAAGGAGTCAGTTAAAATGTAGCAGCCACCGAAGAGAGTTAAAATAAAGCAGCAGTTGCAGGAAGAAGACCCGAATGTGTGGTTAGAAGATCTTATGTGATAATGTGCGATAACAGAGAAGTCGGCCAGTGAAGCCTTACTGTGTGACTTAAAGACTCTGTGTGTGCTGTAGTACAGTTATATTAGGAGTGTGTAATTAAGAGAGACTTGTATAGCTCCCATATTATAAATACGTGAAGACTCCTGAAGATAGTGTGAAGAGATTATTGTGTAGGGTTGTAAAGTGTGTAAACCCATACCAGTGTTATAAGTATTTGTAGTTACGATTTGTAGGTTGTTAAATAAACCAATTAACAATCCGAACGGCGTCTTCAGTAGCAAAACACATTACAATATTATTTGAACCTTGGATTCCATCTGTTATTAGAAGGCAGAGGAATGGTACCATAGCCCACTATGAGCCTTGGCTTTCTTGCACAGGTATACCTTCAGCACTAGATGGAAGTGAGTGGTCTGCTCTATGACCTAGCACTTTCACCCCAGTACTAAACTGGAGGAAAGGAGATTGGATAGGTCCCATACCCAGTGAAGAGAAAAATCTCCAGCCTTGTCACAAATTAGACCCTTACTCTCTTGTCATCCAGCCAGTAAGCCTGCTCAAGCAATATAAATAATTTACTCAATATAACTCAACTAATTACAGTTTATCATACAACATGTAATTAATGTTCTGATATTATACTCAGTCAAAGACTTCTCACCTTACTCTCATGATGTGGTCCATGCCACAAGCTCAAAACAGCACAGAAACATAAATGATAGGCAAGATGTCACACAATACATAAAAATAACACTGAAATCAACTTACAGATGGACGATTTACATCTTCGACTATTGGTTTCGGAGGTTTCAGTCTGGTAAGCATTTTGTAGGTCTCCAAGTTCCGCACAAAACTCCTGCAAACAAATTGTTGGATGTATCAGTTTGGTTCAAGGAACATCTAATATACACAACTCTACACTATGCAAGCCAGGATAGCTCAATCAGTAAAGGGACTGGCTAAGGGCTTCATGATTGGTATTCAATCCCAAGCAGAGTGACAGATGTTCCACATCGCCAATGTGTCCAGATTTGCTTCAGGGCACATACAGCATGCTACCAATGTGTACAAGGGATACACTCCCTGGATATGAAGGGGTTCCATCATGAAGCCCATTTAGTGGCAAGGCACCACTACGTTCAGTCTTGTCCATCCGTCTAGACTGGCAGAGAAAATGAATCAAACGTGGGCTCCCCTTGTGGGGTGTGATGCCACGTCGTTTGGTAGACAGGCACCCACACACACTTCCATGACAACCTCAGTCCATCCGTCTAGACTGGCAGAGAAAATGAATCAAACATGGGAGCCCCTTATGGGGTGTGATGACATGTCATTTGGTAGACAGGCACCCACACACACTGCCATGACAACCTCAGAACTCCTATGAGATCCTTTTTTACAACATTTGTTTGCTGAGCACTGGACAAACTACAGGATTTCATGTGAGTTTCTTTTACTAGAGTTGTACAAGATGATTCACACACATGAGACACCAAATTAATAACTACAAATCATGCAATAATTCATGAATGAGAACAAAACTTGGCAAGTATGTATCATGGTAGATGTGGAGACATTTGGGGTACAGAAAGCGTTGAAATTAGTTTCTCTCTGGAGGCAGAGGCAAACATGAAGTTCCATGTTCATGAATGTCACAATCAGCATGGCAGGAGGAACTGCAGCAATTTCATTGGTAGCATTTCTTTAGCATGAACTGGGTCAAATGTTGGAAAAGTATACAGTGCTGCCAGTTCCACTTCAATCAGCGAACTACTACATGATTTGTAATTATTAATTTGTGGCATCCTTCAAGTGAATCACCCCGTACTTCCTTCTTTAAATACTGTCTGACACTGGTGGATTTCAAATCCAAAGCGGCCAGGGCATGAAACTGACCACTCACCTCCAACTAGGGTCGAGGTCAAGAAAATGTGAAGTGGTCACATATCAAATTGTTCACCAGGCATAACGCTGGTTAACTTTCCATGCTGTGGACCAAGTGCCATGCAAACTGGGAGATCACCAGTGGCCGAGGGTGGGTTCAGTAGGGATGGGAGGCAAGAAGCATGTTGAAGGGTATATCTGAGATGGGACATGGGCCTAGAATGGGGCAGTATGTGTGAAGGATTGTCCAANGGGGGGGGGGGGGCATTGTGAATCCCCTTATGCACTTGTTATAGCCATTCCTTGATATGGCAAAGGACTTGTGGGAACAGCACGTTTGCTCATGGTGTCCTCTCTACTGCTTGACCATATGGATAATCTTCATGCATATCAGGCTTTTTTTTTTTTAAATATGGGGCTATATATACATGGACACTTGCCCACCTTGCACCCATCAACCATGAAGATAGAAGAGGTATGTACCTTTGAAATTTTGGTAAAATTGCATACATCTACATGACATAACCACTTAAGACTAAATAAATACCAACTTCTTTCATCTTTCTGTTAAGCTAAAATTAATTTCTGCCAATATTTTGTTTGTACCATGAAAATTAAGTGAGAGTAATCTGGGCACATGTAAGATTTGAGGCTTTCACTGCGGTGACTATGAAGAAAGCAGTCTTCTGGGATTTGGCACCGTGTATATGTGGTGTTAACCGACGTTTGAGGCTTTCACTGCGGTGACTATGAAGAAAGCAGTCTTCTGGGATTTGGCACCGTGTATATGTGGTGTTAACCAACGTTCCTCCGAAACGTCGGTTAACACCACATATACACGGTGCCAAATACCAGAAGACTGCTTTCTTCATAATCTGGGCATGTTATGCAAAAATGTAAATAAAACTGTTCTAAGAATTATAATGGTTTTTATCATTATGTCTGTTAACTGTCATAAAGTGCTAGGACAGTTAATCTGTTTTTACCTGGTGGAGGGACTATTTTGTGTACTGGTGTGGCACAGCAGTAAGCCTGGAGGGACATTCTGGGTACATACCCATCAGACTAAATGGCTGACAAAAAGCCAGTGGCAATGCAATTCCAAGCTGCTGTGATGTAAGACTTACTTGCCACGCAGCTGTACAGCATTTTCCCAATCCTTATTCTCCATGGCTTTTGTGACTGCTTTTGTTCTCTCTACACACTCCATCAGAGGCAACCTCACAGCCTGGTTACCATCTAGTGAAACCACACAGGATTCAGTGTCTGGTGTGGCTTCCATGAGTGCCATCACAGCCTCCGCACCCATCCGACATCCCTACCAAACATACACTTTACAGTTATTGAGATTTGGATGCTATGTCCATCGTCCTGCTTTTTTATTTAAAACATGTTTCAGAGAATGGATTCTGTTTCCGTCTTCAGGTGAAAGCCCAACTGAGTAGGCTTTTATCTGAAGATGAGAACAGAATCCAGTCGCAAAAATGCTGTGTTTGAAACAAAAAACAATTGGTAGGGTCCAAGAACTCAATAATTGTATTAATATACCATCATCACAGACTTTTAGATCTTATGTTTGTTAACAGAGAACATGAAATGTGTAAATTCATCCTTCAGGGCTTAACAATGTCACGTGTTGAAGTTCTCAGAACTACATGGCATACACTGCAGTCAACATCTTCAGGGTGAACAAGCAGAAGGATGCAGCCCAATATATAAATCTAAAAGTAAATGTATGGGCGGGGGTGTAGAGCAATACGCTATCCGATGAGAAAGGGCCACAGCCGTAAGTAGAAGTCTTGCGATGGAAGTCAGGATGCAAGAGTGGAGTGTGGTGCTATGCAGTAGGAAGGGACCATGTGGTTAGGTAGGAAGCTTGGGGCATACTATCCCTCTGCTTCAATCATCCTGAAGATGGCAATAACAACATACACTGAAACACTGGAACAACCTCAGTATAAGATGTGGCTAAACACTGGAAAAATGAAGGACAGGAATATAGAATGTTTATATTGTGGTGATGAAATCAAGTCAGTCAAAATGTCTGATTCTGTATCCCAACCTACAGCTCAAAGTGTCACTCCAGGTAAGTAAACTGGTGGCACTCACACCGTTCGTTTGACTACGGAGTAACAGCATCTTCACAAGCTTAGGGAAGGGATGGGCTATATGTCAGGGAAATATACACTCTGAAATTTTCAGTGACCAAATAGTGACATCTTCTAGGGCAATCACATGCACAAATACGGAATAAAACTGTTGTTCCAGAGACTGTTCCTGTTCTATTACCATGTGACATGAACCCACCTGATGCAAACCAATCTCTAGCCAGGGACCAGCCAAAAGAAGAGCAGAGGGTGCAACCCAAACCCACAGCCCCTAAATTCTTTCAAGTCATGGTACTTAGACATAGGGATGACATGTGGTTCCTGAGAAACTGAATCAGTGCAGTACCTATCACCAAGCAAACATGAGACAAGTCCTTGTGAACAAGGTAATGAACCTCCGAGTTCTTTAGGAGGTTGGGAACTTCTAGATTAAATAAGCATCTCATACATTCTAAAGAAGTCTGGTTCCTGAGAAACTGAATCAGTGCAGTACCTATCACCAAGCAAACATGAGACAAGTCCTTGTGAACAAGGTAATGAACCTCCGAGTTCTTTAGGAGGTTGGGAACTTCTGGATTAAATAAGCATCTCATACATTCTAAAGAAGTCTGCTCCACCAAATTAGAGCAGTGATAAGACTTGACAGTGGATCAAATAAAGCGGCTGAATTCAAAATCAATTGGACTGCATTCACTATCAGCAACTGAGAATGAAACAGCATTAACAAAATTGCAAAACCTAATAATTCTAATTTGTTATAAACAATAATTCATGAAATAAAAATAAATAAAACTGACTTTCACCTGGGGTGTGGGCATACTAATGGTTTTACTGTCCAAGTTCTACAAGACGCTCCAGAATTACTTACGCTCATTTTAATCAAAGCTATATCTACCTTGTGCAAGCATGCATGTGCGCACGCGCGCGCGCACACACACACACACAGAGCTCTTCTAATACCTGACTGAATGACAATGTCCAATGTCTCCACAACTCTTGTCAGTGGCATGCTGTCTGGCCACAAAACCAAAACAGCATGCCCTGCTTTTATGGGTGATTTGATTACAAGTGAGAACATTTCACTAAGCCAACTTATTAACTGGGTCCTGCCAAGTGACAGGTCACATATGAAGCCCCAGCTGGGGACCAATATGCTGACTGGTTGTGCCCATCACATCTCAGGGGCAGTGACAGATGGCCGAGGGGCACAGACAGAATGAGGGCTGCTGAGAAATCAGTCCCACTGCCCTTTTGCCCATCATAAATCCAATGTAGATTGTTGTGGGATGGATTCCTCTGCATTTAACCATGACAGCTATGGCACAGTCCAATCCATTAAGCAACGACTGCAAACTGTATGCTGCTGATGACTTTTAGAAATACGATCTAACAATCTGCTATGATAGTATGTCAATATAATTATTAACTTTATCCAGAAATAAAAACCTGTGTTTCTACAGGTCACATAATTCACTTCATGTACTCTGGCTTTTCAACAGACTAGAAAGGAGACATACCAGGACTCTGTCAAAAGCTGATGGGTTGCCCCCTCTCTGGACATGTCCGAGTACTGTTATTCTTGTGTCCTGCTGCAGGTTCTTCACAACAACCTCTCTAACTTTCTCTGCAGTGATGGGTTGTCCATCTCGGTCAATGGCGCCCTCAGCAACAATGATGATGTTGAGCCGCTGTCCCGTAGAACGCTCCTGTTTCATCCAGACATCACAGGTAAGGTGATCAGGGAAAATGGTTATGAAAAAAGCCAAACAAGGGCAGCACTTAACAATGAAATAAAAAATATGTGTTATAAGTGACCAAGTAGCCTGGAGCTCTCAATGTTACTCTCTGCAACCATTCCTCCCATAGTACAATAGTAATTAACCTGCTCACATCTTCCACAAATGGACAACAGAAACTATACCAAATGGTGCAACGGTACTACTGGTACAGAATGTACAGTAAACCATTGCTAATCCGGATTAAGTGGGGGAACAGGTCATTAAGATTAAGTGATAATCTGGATTAATGAAGCAAAAGGTAGCCCTTAAAGACAAAAAAAAATTATAACATAAAAAAATGTAAAATTTAATGATATATGTAGTGTTGATGGAAATAAATTAAAAAATATCACTGTACAGCCTTTATTTAAAAACTATAAGAAGACAATATATTTATTCATCAATAGAAGACTCAGAAGCTGTACTTGTTTTTGAACATTATGTTCAAAAACAAGTACAGCTGAGACCTGAAGAAACTGTCAAGATTTGTTTGAACAGGCAAGCGACTCATCTGCCTTAGTTAGTTAGCTATTGGAGAGGGTGGGTTCCCCATGCACTTAGACCTGTATTGGTCCATTGTGCTTCCCTCTATGATTTCTACCTGTCTCTATATCCTACCGGTATTGGCGCTTACCATCAGTCCCGTTAAGCCAGCGAGACCGGCTCTACTGGTTGAGAAGTATCTATAATGCTTCCCCCATCTACCGGAGGTATTAGTGACTGCTGTTGGGCGGCAAATGTCCACAATTTTGCTCAGTGACCTCCTTTGGAGGTATGAGGTTCTTTTACATGCCGTAAAGCTACGACATGGGACCCACGGCTTAAAGTCCCTCCCGGAGGACTTGTTCCCTGAATTTTTCCGCCCTTAAAAATTCGACGACCTCCGCCGGGTATTTGAACCCGCGTACTACGAGTCATGAGGTGGGAACGTTACCTCTAGACTAAGGAGGCCGCTACTCATCTGCCTTCCTAAATGCCGTGTGTCTTTTGAAGTATGTACTCAACTGTGAATAGCATTTTTATTTTTTGATCCATATTATTTGTAACTGGATTAGCGAGGATTTACTGTATCATCACTGTCCTGTTCCATAAAGTTCAAGATGCTTTACAATCCATTCTGATATCCACTTTACCGAGACTCTGCCAAACGAGTAACTGCATTACCACACACATTCTTTATTACTACAACACATTTGAGCCCACTAAGCATCATCAGACTACCCATACAATTACTCACTTAAACTATTATTAGCTATATATTGTCCCATGTTTAGAAATTTTGGTTCTGCATGTAGAATATATATTATTACATGGAGTTAACAGTTAAATTGACAATTAATACAAATAGCCTGATGATGGCAACAGGCCAAAACATGTTGCAATAATAATGAAATGTATATAATTAATTCAAAAGTATAAAGTGACAGAATTCTTTGACATATCAATCTCAAAAAAACAAACACAACACTCCAAGTGAATAAATCTTCAATATATATATAGCATGATGGTTACAGACAACTCCCCTGGCAACCCAACTACATCATACTGTAGAACAGTATCCTTTAGCTCCCATGTCTATGAACAGGAATCATAAAAACCAAATGGTTATTTAACCCTCTGAATACCAAATTAAAGACAATCATTTTCTTATATTATATAAATTTGTTATATTAGTCTGCAACGTTCAGTTAGAACACAAACTATTCTTGTACACACAGCGGAATCTGTAACCTGGTTTTAAATGGTGTTATTTTGGTCATGATGCAAACCCCACCTCAAACCCTGAAACGGAATGTTATACTGCAAGCTGTTGATTCAGCCATCACACACTTTTTCCTGTTCAAATGACATGTGGCGACACTTGATGTAACAAAACATAGCTTTGGAGCTGTGCTGTTCTTCCTCAACTTTCTCCCATCATTTCAATCCTGTCCATGTTTATAAGCTATGGTATCAGTTCACATGGCATTGCTGGTCCTTTTGAACATTTCTGTATGGGGATTATACAGGCTCCTCTAATGGCAATGAAGCCCAATAACAATCATCTCTATATGTGGAAAACATGATCTATTCACATTACAATGAGAAAAGAGATTTACTTAAGCAGACACACTACGTGTCTACATTAAAACTGAAATATGTATCTTCAACACCTCCCTACAGTATACTCCTTTATGGTAATTAACAAGGAGGTGCTTGTATTAAATGAAATCTTGGGTTGGTTCAAGAAGCTTATAAAAACTTTCTTCCAGATTTTCATGAGAGACCCACTTCAGTTAAAAGCTTCTAATTTCAAATGAACTTTTCTTGTTCACTATTTATAGCTAAATGAGGCACTTTGTGAACTCATCTACACATTTCTTGCCCAGCAGTAATTGCCATTTAACACTATCACTGTTACGGGCAGAATGATGTATTGATTATAACCAAAACAAAAGTATGCCACACATTAAGAAGAGAACTATACTGTACAGTGTGTCCACAAAGTCCCTTCGGGGTTTTGAAAAATTGTGGCGCAAATAAATTGAGCTGGCCATATGCAGTCTGCAGCAGATCATAGTGAAACTCTGGAAGGTTTTTACTGACCTCAGCGGACCTCGATGTGTGCTCCCTTGGTAACACAGAGAAGGTCCAGATGATATTCAAGCTCTTGCCATGTTCTGTGGAGAATGCCCACTGGAATAGCTGAGATAGCATTCCTAATATGGGTCTTCAGGTCATCAAGTCCGTTAACTGGTGTTCGGAACACACTGCTCTTGACATAACCCCACAGGAAAGAATCAAGTGGTGTTATGCCTGGTGAACATGGAGGCCAAGGCATCGGACCATCTCTGCCAATCCATCTTCCTGGAAATGTCCTATGTAGGAATACACGTACCTGCAGACCTGTGTTCTGAACACCAGTTAACGGACTTGATGTCCTGAAGACCCATATCAGGAATGAGATCTCGGCTATTCCAGTGGACATGCTCCACAGAACATGGCAAGAGCTCGAATATTGTCTGGATGTTCTCCGTGCTACCAAGGGAGCCCACATCGAAGTCTACTGAGGTCAGTAAAAATACTTCCAGAGTTTCACTATGATCCGCCACAAACCGCATGTGGCTAGCTCAATTTCTTTGCGCACCACAATTTTTCAAAACCCCAAAGGGACCTCGTGGACACACTGTACAACACAGAGTTCTGTGACACTGAATTTTTGTTTTGAGAAATTCCATACAAAGAGAGACGGGGAGAGAGAAAGACTGAGAAACTGACGTCATAAATAAGAAATGAGAAGCCATCTCTCAAGTTCATGCATTACATGTTGCATATATACACACACATTTATGTGTGCGCGCGCGCGCGCGTGTGTGTGTGTGTGTGTGTGTGTGTGTGTGCGTGTGTAAAGCCTGCAACAACTCAATGGATAGCAGCAAATACAGCTGACTGGCACATATAATAGCAATATAAGGGGCATGGATGGATGACTATAATTTTGCAGAGTTGTCAGCAGTTGGTGGAATGAGAATTAGCAGGGGAAACAGAAATATAAAGAGAAAACCTGTCTCAGTGCCACTCTATCCACAACGATTCCACATGACCTGCCCTGGGACTGAACCCTGGCTGCTGTGGTGAGAAGTTGCTGATCACTTTCTGAGTTATGGTATGGCCTAACGATTTTGTTATTAGCAGCAATGAACCTTTGAGTTGTACTACTGGATTCTTACATAAAAGTGAAAGGATTAAATTACTAATCAATTGTAGCAATAATAAATTATGCAACATTTATAATTATTTTCAGGAATTAAACTTCAACAAAATCTGTAAAGTACAAGTAAATCTTAATTACTGTCACATGCCTGGATATGATAACAATGCATCTTTTCTTATATTGCTTCATATGTCTGTTATGTCTGCAGAAAAAAGTTTGGGAACTGCTGGGCAGATTTTCATAAAATTTGGTACCAGGTAGTTTTATGAAGAACTGTTGCACAGTTTCAATTCTCATTTAGACTGAAGAAGTTCAATGACCACTTTACATGAAGACCTAAATGTGTATCTTCCTGCATTCTGAGAGCCTATCTATCCATCTCTTCCTGTTGCTCCCACTTGAAACATACGGCATCCATGAAATGCTTGTTTCACTTCAGTTTCTTAAACTTAGACAGTTGGGAGGACTCCCTGGACAGGGGATCAGCCCATCACAAGGCCGTTACCTACACACAAACACAGAATAAATGCAGACAAACATCCATGTCTTGATTGGGATTCAAACCCATGATTCCAGTATTTGAACAGGTGAAGACGTTTCATGTTTTAGACTGTGTGGCCATCATGATCAGCCACTTTGAGAGTAATTCACTAAAAATTTATCAGAGTGAAAACTGTTCCAAACAATAGTTGCAGGGAAAAGTAAAATATCCATTTTATGACAATACTCTTTTTCTGGAAGTCTTAAAGGAAAAGAAAAGGTAAAACTATTCTGTAACAGGCTGTGAATGCCCATAGGGTTGTGAGATGTCAAGGCTCCCACATTTTCTAGATAATCAGCTCAGAGGCAGTGGTGAGGCTGTCAGTCTCATGCCACGGCTGCCCTTTACCCCCAGGAAGATTTCTGGTACTCATTTCTGTTAGAGGCTGAGCTGAGCCCCTGGCCATAGTGCAGCTGGAAAGTTTAATCAACTGAAATGTCCAAAGGCATCATCAGGTATTGAACCCGTGACCTTCAAGCTTGTAGAATAGTGCCCCAACCAACTATGCTACTGCAAGGCCCAAAAGCCTTACATTTCTTGAGATAAGTGAACAAATCAGATATGTGTACATTTCTGAATTTCTATATTCAACAATCACCACGATCTCCTGATTACATCCAAAACTTGGATTACTTATGTTGTTGTTGTTGTTGTTGTCTTCTTTCTAGTTCCTTAGCATGGATAGTTGAGTGT